TAGTTGTTTATTTATTTATGTATTTATTCTTTTGTCTATTTATGTGTTTGTTTATTTATTATTTAGTTGTTTATTTACTTGTGAATGTATTTGTGCCAGTGACATTACCTATATGTTTTCCCCCACTGTTTGATTTCTCTGAATGCCATCGTTCCGGGCTCGGCCAGGCGTCGGATGTTTGGGAAGAAAAGGTGACACGGTGTGCTTGCTGCTTCCCAGAGATAAACAAACGAAAGCTTTGTTCGTGTCTTTGAAAAAGAAAAGAAAAAAAGAGAGAGAGAGAGAGAGAGAGAGAAAGAAAGCAAAGGCGAAAGCAAATGCAAAAGCTGCACACAGCACCATGTCGCTTGATGTCTATAAGTCTGTGGAGCTTAGCTTCAATGTCCTCGTTGTTGTTGTTGTTGTTGTTGTTGTTCGTGGGTGGCTGGTGGGTGCTCTGGTGTGGTTTGCTCCTTCTTTCCTATCAAACATCTGTTGTACTTATCTTTCCTCCTCCTATTTTGTGTTTGTTACTCTCTTGTAACACTTCTAATCTTCGGCACTTATATGACCTTATTGTATTTCAAGTGCCATAAAACTTTTACCTAAACTAAAATTGTCGTTGTTGTTGTTTTTGTCGTCTTTGTCGTTTTTGATATTTGTCCTTTGAGTGTATGAAGGAAGAGATCTTGAGTGATCTTCAGGTTGAAGTTTTAGAACAAAGATATTATTATGTGGGTGGTTGGAGTGTGGCAAGAGAAACTTTTTCTTTTCTTTTTTCTTCTCTCCTGTCTGATCTTTTTTCTTTCTCTCCTCTTTGAGTGCTTGTTACTGTGTTGATGTGCTCTTCTTTGTTTAAAAGAAATACCCACCCTTTATTAACTTACAAGTATAAAATGTCTTTGGAGTGTAGGGTTAAAAAAAAAATCGGAATGGGTTCATTAACAAGCCATTGTAAAACCTTTACTTAAAAAACAAGGTCTTGATGAAAACGACATGAGAAATTTTAGGCCAGTTTCCAATCTTAACTTTTTATTAAAAATCCTGGAGAAAATTGTTTTGTGTCAAGTTCAACAACATCTGAAGGCCAATGACATGGAAGAACCTTTTCAATCTGCTTATAAAAGGCACCACAGTATGGAAACCGCTCTTTTAAAGGTATC